GCAGCTGTCAATAATTATCTAACCTTGTATTATTGAATCATGTGCAAAATGTATTTATACATAAGGCTGGTTTTCACTTTGCCAAATTCAATGGCATGTGCCGTCAATAAGTGAAAACACAAAGGTTTANAATAAAAGATTTTCCTAAATTATATGCCAAAGAATTTCGTATTCGTTTACCCAATAGACGTTCTGCATACGGAATCAATGGTGGGGAACGAACATAAATACCAAGAGCACGCGGCGTCCACGCTTTGAACACACATTCACTAGCATATGGTACTCTCAGTCCAACCCATCCTGCTGATGAGAGAACTATATCAGAGCTTATAGCGTCCTGGTATTTGCCTACAAGCTGAATAATTTCTTTAGAGCTCTGTAATCCGCACCAACGTGTTAAACGTGCCTTATCCCCAAAAGGCAAACCAAGAACTTCAGTTCCGAGGTATTCTTGGTATGTTTTTGCAGCATTTTCCGTCTGAGTAACGACCAGAGGAAGTTGTAGAGAACTGAATACAATTACTTTTACCCAGTCAATATCAACATATTTACATTCTATAAAATCCAAACGGGCCAATCCCGCCAGAAAAATACTCATGCCAGGTTTTAGTCGTACACCTCGTGGTACGATCATGTCAGTGGGTGTTAATATTTGCAGCTCTTTCGGCGTGAGTATGTCTGTAAACTGCTCAGGGTGGATAACTCCAGGGGTGTCATAACACCACTTAGCCTCACGATATAACCGGTCTTTTTCATTCAATGTAACAATTGGCTTTGTTCCAGAACTCATAGCAAATGCATCAGATGTATCTACGTTATTTACGAAAGTCCGTCCAACCACACCCTCAAGACGAGCTGATTTTGTATCACCGGTTTTCTGCGCTTGGTGGCGACGGAGTGAATTTTCTGCGCGTTTCTGCTCGCGTTCAGAAGATAAGCGACGAAAGCGTTGATAAACTCGTATTTCCGACGGTCGATATATAGGAAATTTTAGCATCTGAAGAGTAGTCCCAGGCCAGGGGCAAGTAGTTGCTCTACGTACTAAATCAGTGGCTTCAGGACGGCAGTAATCAGAGTTTAAAAGGATATTAAAAAGCGAGCTCTTCCCAACATTCGTGCAGCCTACTAAATAAACATCTCCTTTGTAGGCCCAAATCTTGTGCAATTGAGTTATTAGTTCCTCTATTCCATAGCCTGTTTTAGCGGAAATTAAGCAAATCTGTTTTATGTTGAGTGTATCGAATCCGCACTGCAACATTTGATCTTTCAGACAGTCTTTAACATGGTTAAGGTAATTATTATGATCACGGGGCAGCAAATCAACTTTATTTCCCACTACAAATAAAGGTCGTTTGTGTCCAAGGACGTCCCGTAAACCTGGCCAAATTGAACATGGAAAGTCCAAAAGATCAACGATTACTATTGCTAGCGCATGCTCATCTTTTATGCGAGATATCGTTTCAACGTATGAGTCGGCGTTAATTTCTATATCTAAAGCAATGTTATAGGACTTTAGGAAGTGGCAACGTTGACATATTATGGTTTGAAGTTCTTTTTTCGACCGACCTTTAAATATCTCGACAGGAATAAAGCCTACAACATACGAAAAGAATTACAATAAAATATTTAATATTTGTCACCTATTTAATTATTAACCTGGTAAAGTAGTTTGTGTACAATGCAAGTGTGCTCCACATCCACTACAAGGCACATCTGAAGGCGATATTCTTGGATCCGCAGTACCATAAGGGGAATGATTTGTGTCTTTATTACCCTCGTAGAACTCAAAATCCTCCATCCAATCAATTGGAAAATTATTACTTTCATCATGCTCCATACCATTGAAAGGAGGTTCAGAAAATAATGGCTTCTTTTGAAGTGCGCGCAACTTGCGTTTCTCCTTCAATTCCTCCTTATGCATATATGACCGCAGTCGGCGATAACTCATGAACTCTACCTGTTCTTCCAACTTCGTGCTGTACACAATGAGCGGGTGCTTTGAATACCTTTCCTGTGCAAACTTCCATTCATTCTGGCGTTGACTAACTATATTTTCATACAGTCTAGCGTCTGGACTCTGCCGTGAGGGATCAGATACACAAAAGCGTAAGTAGTTCTTAAAATTAAATTTAACCGAAGTCTTCACTGATTGTCTTAACAAGAACATTTTAAAAATATTGTCAAACTCATATTATGCGATAACGACCATATAAATCGTTTTGGCACTGTTTTGCCATGGTTCATGCTGTTTTGTAGTAGAGCTGGAAAATTATCGATGGCACTATCGACCATGCAAAAACCGGCTGACCATATCGAAAAGAAACTATCAATTGTACGCTCGCATACATATGCAAAATGTATTTATAAATAAGGCTGGTTTTCACTATGCCAAATTCAATGGCATGTGCCGTCAATAAGTGAAAACACAAAGGTTTACCCCATGATAAAAACATAACAAGGTAAAACCATTGAGAGGCAGTCTGACGTTTGCCAACAATATAATTTTAAAATCAAAACTCAAACTCACACACACATTCTCATTTTCAATCTCAAACAACAACAATTGTGAACAATTTAATTTTTTTATTTTCAATTTTATATGATTTTAAAATGTTGGCAAACGTCAGAAAAAAATCATGGCCGACGAATTGAGAGAATGAATTTACCTTGTAATGTTTTTATCATGGTTTACCCCATGGTGGAATAATAACAAAGTGTTGTCAGTAGCGACGTGTTTGTTGCAATTTTGACAAGGTCGGCATGCTTATTTTAGTGCTGCCGATCTTAATTTTTATACTACTATTCGTTGGAAAATAGTATCTAAAATGATCCATTTTAGTAATTCATTTTATCGCGATTTTTAAAGAACTTGATGTTTTCAAAACGATATTAATATTTAAAATTGATGGATTTGTATAATTTTTGTCCTCAAAATGTAAATTGATATCGTGGTTATCAATGGAAAAAGACGTACACAAAAGTCGTATGGGAAGGCGATTTTTTATATTAAACTAGCCAATGCCCGCTTGCTTCGCGGCGCCTAATAAGAGTTTTTGCGTTGGCCAATTCAAAAATTGAAACGAATAAAAAGCAGAATCCTCCTCACATATAGATCAAGAATTGAAGCTGTGATTCCATATGGAATACTAATCCCTTTCGATGTCATGAGTTTTACCGATGGTCTTATTTCCACCTTTGAGATCTCTGCCAAGCGTGCGTAATATTCTTCAATGATCTTGCAACTTCAACATTGGTCCGGTGTACCATGTAAGCCAATACAAGTCCTAAAGTTTTCGCGTACATTGGCTAAATGAGTCGTGTGATCTCATGAATATCGTTCAAATGAAGCCATTGATATACATTCTGATGTGCCTTCTTGGACAGATGAGGTCGAATCTTTCCTTATCAATTCGCTACTTTTACAATTCGTCTTAGTATTTATGATTTGGTTTCTTTGAGTCTTACTGATATAATAACGGCCGCCTCGAGCAACTTCGTCAACCGGAGGTAGATGCAAGATCACGCTTACACAGTGTTACGGTCTTTATATGCATACCTAACGCATTCTTCATTTAGCCATCTGAAAAGTAAATTCGTCTAAGATAAATATAGGGTCAAAGCAGAACAAACCCCGTGGGGGCTTCTATATATTTCAGGTGCAGCGCCATCCAATGGGTGCCTTTTCTGCAAAACCTTTGCTTGTCATGAAATGAATACGCATTATGAAAACTAATCAGATTTTATAAAAAATACGGATTTTCTAAATACCTAAACTCCAGCGGGTCCATTTTTAGCAAAGGAATTTTTCATCATACAGGTAGTCACGCTGAGAATTTGAACGAAATCTGATAATAAATACGACTTTTCAATATTGTTAAGAATTTTGCATTAAAGAGAATCGCTATTTCAAATATAACGACAAGATTTACGAGCAAAAGTCAGGAATGCCTATGGGTTCCCCCGCTTCACCGGTTATCGCAGACATAGTAATGGAGGAATTATTAATCAAATTTGAAAATGACGCCGTAAGCAAACCCCGATTACTAACTAAATATGTCGACGACATCTTTGCAATTGCTAAAACANAGAATTTGAACGAAATCTGATAATAAATACGACTTTTCAATATTGTTAAGAATTTTGCATTAAAGAGAATCGCTATTTCAAATATAACGACAAGATTTA